GGAGCCCTCGCGAACGTTTTGCCCAGGGGCCCACACAACCCATAATCCGTCCCTGCATCAGACATCTTACAATTTAAGGAATATATTTCTGATGCCAGGATCATGTGACTTTCTGCTGGTCTTATTTTCAAAAGGTGTCTTTTGAAGGTTTTTTTAAACATGAAAAATACTCCTGTACTATATTTTACTTGAATATACGAGTCCTTTCTCATGAGTCTTTGGTGCTTTAAATCCCAAGAAATACTCTAGGCAGGTCACTGGGAAATGTATGACATCACCAAACACCACACCCCTTTGCTGTAATCCACATGACTGTAACTAAACAGTAAAAAACTTATTATTATTCCCATAGTAGCAGCTACCAGAGAGCTGGGTACACAGAAATGCAAAGGGCTCTCATTCAACCTGAGAGCATAGGAGGAGCTCGTCATGAATGACTCCTAGATAGATTTTTGGGGTGTTATCTGCATCTCTAAGATTTCTTAGGGTGAGTTCCTACCTCCTAGCAGACCGAGTCATGGTCCTGTGCCTCTGCTTTAAATAGCGTCACATGGGAAGTGAACATTTCAATACGGCAGCTCTGTCTCCAGCCAGTTGTTGGTGGGCAGAAAGGAGTGTTTCCCTTCTGGGAAGTATGCAGATTGCTTGGTATATGTGGGCCAGTTAAAGGAAGGCAGTTTCATGTGATTTCTTATATATTCTTGCAGTTTCCTACCTTACTGGGACAAAATTCCCTCCAGGGGATGGGGTTTTGGGAGGGGGGTGGGGAGACGTCGTAGATGAAAAGAATACTCGATCCTCCCACCCACACTGGAAAGTGCATCTTCCTGTCACTTGAGAGACTTTTCATACAGACTAGCGGATGCCACTGGTCTCTCAGGGCAGCTTGCATATAAATACATCACTGTCATCGTGAACCTGAGCTGTGCATTTGTCACTGACACAGTGAGTGTATGTCATTGGTGACCTGACTGGGCCACTGCTTGCCTCTCGCCAGTTTGTATAACCTTCGCAGTGATCTGTGCTATGGAAATCGCAGGACAGTCATTGGCATTGACCAAATCCCAAGAGCACGTAAGCTGGGCTTGAGGAGTTAAGTTTCCTCAAGATGTGCAATATTTCCATGAAAAGACATGGAGAGACAAGCAGGCCGATAATTACAAAAAGAAACCATATAAACAAATCAATGATTCCATTAACTGATACGGCACATTAGAAAACTTTTTGGCCTGGACTGTAAAATCCTGCACCACAGATGAGAGGGATTCCTGGAACCACCAAATAAGAGGATTATTTTTTAACTTAATCCTCAAGGGTGAGAACCCATGAAGTGCGGCAGTGTTGGTGTGGGTAGCTGAGAGTGTGGGAGACAGAGAGAGGCTGCAATGGAAAAAAGCCGTTATCGTAACGAGGAAAAACGCTCAACCTGACTCGGAGGCGGAAGCAAGTGTTTTTCATAAGGATTTTTTATAATGCAAATGTAACATGTTTTTTTGTGGGTTCGAGCTGTTTCTGTAGCCATAAATGCAGTGATGCAGCCTGACTCATGGGTATACGATACTGTCTGTATCATTTCTTCTAAAATTAAACAGGGTGACCAGATAATTCAGGTCAGGAAGGACATGATTCGAAAACTACAATTTCAATGAAAAGCACCTAGATTTGACTTAAGCACTGAGTTCTTGTTGTGTGCTGATTGATCAGTCTCCTTTAATCATGCATGTTTCACAAATGTTAATGTGCTCTTTCAATAAAGGAAACAAACCAGTCAAAACACAAGAACCAAAGTACTTAGCCAAGTACAGGAGCCTTAAAGTAAAACCTGAAATAGTTGAATGTGTCCTCCATGACGTGGCTTATCTGCTCACCCTAAATGAAACCTACTTTAAGATCTCAGTTAAACTGGTTTCAAAAACACTCTGTATACAGCACAGAGACAGAAGTCTGGTCCTGCAGCATGTGGAATGGAACCAGCCACATTAATATCTCAGCGGCTGCGCTAGATTTCAGCTGGATTTTGTAACCGAACAGCTTAAGTTGAGTTTCTTTGAGATTAAGACATTTAAGTTCTACTTGTATTTGTGTGTTGTTTTCCCAGATGCACAACGGAGCGAATGAGAGACCCAGCCATGGTGCTATTTACATGACTCACCTGTTTTTTGCTACGACGGGGGTTTTAAAAACAAACTGGGCCACGTAGACGTTTTGTAAAATGAAAACGAAATAGTTCTTTGAAATTTAGTACTATTTCTATTTCATTGAGCTGGTAAACATTTGTTTCGTGGACTGTTCTGCTGGGGATCATGCCAGTAATTAAAACGACTGTGCATCGAGGTATTGGGGTCATTGTGGACGAAGCGGATCTGGTACCGCAGAAGCTGACATCTGCTGTCACAACCCAGATTCCTCTTTCTGATGGGTGTTTCGGTGAATGAAACCGGGAAATCCCTGGCACGGGGAATTCCGTAAAAATCAAACATAAAAAAATGAAAAGACTGGCGTGAATGATAACAGGGAGACAATCTATGAGGCAGCGTGAGATTTGAAATTAATATCACAAATCTTAACGGTTGTTTGGCCAGCAAACAAATGCTCAATAAACTCATTAAGAAGGCTGCATCTATTCTGGGAATCCACCTTGATTCCTTTGAAATAACTGCCCAAAAGGGATCACTGAAGAACATTTGTTCCATACTGTGTACACTAGTGTAGTTTGTGTTTAATTTGTGATGATGTTGCCCTGGTGTCTGAAAGCCACTCTGTGGATCGTCACTCCGTCTCTATGCCCCGCTGTGACAACATGCTTATTTTGCTGTATTTTAAAATGAGGCTCTATTACAGTTATAAATCACAGTTATTACATGGTCACTGGTGTGAGGTTTCTATTTCATGCACCCAAAGACCATATTTATGCATATTAAATGAACAAGCCTGTCAGCCTTTCCTCACCCTACGCCTAGAAATTCTGTCCATTAAAGTTTCTAACAGAACCGGTGAGGAAAGGCAGCCCTAGGGCAGTCCAACGCCCACCGAGAATGAGTGTAACTTACTGCTGCCTATGTGAACCAAACTCTCGCTCCGTTTATACGGGGACCTGATGGCCCACAACCAACGGGCCCCATACCCAATACTCCTGAAGCCCCCCCACAGACACCCCCCAGGGACATGAACGTATGCCTTTTCCAAGTCAACAAAGCACATGTAGACTGGCTGGGTAAACTCCCATGATTCCTCCAGTATCCTTGTGAAGGTACAGAGCTGGTCCAGTGCTCCATGTGCCTAAGGCCAGATATGGACACCAGTGATCGGTCCACCAATGTCCCTGCCTTCGACTGCCACATGATATATATGGTCTGAAAAAACAGGTCCGAACATCAGCCACATTTGCAACGAATTTGAAACGACACGTGGACTTGAAGGAGCCGAGTATATTATACCTTTACCATACCTCTTTTTTCACTTCCTATATAAAAAAAATTACATCAAGCTAAGTTCAATCTGTAAACTGATCTGTTTTGTGTCGTCCTGCTTTATGACACGTTAGGTGCTAAAACATCTACTCACTTTAGTTTCTCTTGGCATTTAACAGTAATCTCTGTCCGTGATTCCATAGTAGTATAAAGTAATCCATCGAGTTTGGGAAGCAGCAATGATTGACGGCTGGGGATGGATGGATAGTAGAAGATTCTACAGAGAAAGAACTTTCTTGAAAAAATCGGAAAAAACGAATGTGAAATGGTTCATTTTGGGACTGTGATCTTCAAAACTGTGAACTTTGAGCATGAACCAATTCATTTTAATCTGTGTGAGCTGAACTTTGAGCTTTTGTTAATTGTGGACTTGCGTTGCGCCCGTTGATGGGCAGTGTGTGGTTCAGCGGCATAAGCTTCTGTGCTTGTGGTCAGACGGTTGCTGGCTTGAGCTCCTGCCTTAGCAGAAGAACCACATCTATGTATAAAATATACAGTTACAGAATATAACTCAAACATGTTCTACAAAAACAATTTATAAATGAGGGAAATGAATTGTCTGAATTCCTTCACTAAGCCATTTTAAACCTTAAAAGGAGAGAGAAATATATAGTCTATAGTGTTGGGCATACAGGGATTCTGTTTAATGCACCAAAAGCAAATTCCTG